CCTGTTTTCATGTTTCAAATATGATAGTGTTTATTTTTGTTCTGTGCCATAACTGTAACCATAATTAAGTGGGCTCATATTAGAAGCATGCCTTCTAAAGAAAGGCATAGATTATATGTTTGTTTTGCTTGGTATAACTCAAGACACATTGTCATCAATACAACTGCAGTAAGTCCAGATTTGGGTAGTTTTCATCACCCCACAAAGGCCTATAAAGTATGGTGTCAACTGCAGAGAATATGCCTAACTACTGGGATTTTGTACCAATGGTCCCTGGCAAGTCTTTCACATGAAGGAAGGCCTGGCTAAGCCTCTCCACACTCATGTCGGCAGCGCTGAGAGTCAAATACATAAGAACTCAATATGCTCAAATACCAATGTGCCTCTGTGAACGTGTGGGGCTAGTCACCTCCATGCTCAGCACCCTCTCTTATGGTTCCTTCATCTTCTCTGCCTCCTGAACGTGGAAACATCTTTCTGTGTCCCCCATCATGGCAGCACTGTATTACCTCCAGCTTCTCTCACAGCAGGACACCTTTATTCAAAGCTCACTGGTTATTTCTGTCTTGAAACATTCCCCTCAAAGCCTTTAAACACCACACTCTCCTGAGTTTCCTTCTCTCAATATTCTTTGCTACACCCTTCCTCTTCAGTTCTCAGAGCCACTCACTGTGTTCTTTGGAGTTGGCCTTGACCAGTTTTTTTTCTGAGTGCATTCTCCTAGCAGATGATCCCACCCGTTTTTATTCTACATAATTCCTGTACCCTAGCAACAAGTAAGTTTAAGTCTTTCATCTAGACTTGTTCTCTCAACAGTAGACTCATATGTCCACCTGTCTCTGTAACACCTGTACTTGGGCCTCTCAGAGCATCCCAGAACTGATGTGCCCCCACATGGACCATTTAATTTCTAGAAATAAGCGCCTGTCCTTAAAGGGTAACCCTGAGCCCCACTTTGCCTGTCTACCTCAGAGAATGTCATCGCCATTTATTCGTTTTCCTCCATCTCCGAGACAGTAGCATGGGTTTCAACCAGACATGTCTTAAAGAGGTAATTCTACCATACACTTTAAAATTGTCAAAAGCTCGCTGCAATTAAAATCCACTCTAAAACATTTAACACAGCTTTTAAGCTCTGATATTAACTGTCTCATATGATCCCTCCAGCTCCGCTTAAACATTTAAATTAATGAATGTGCAGTTCTTCTCACTGTCTGTCCCTCCCGCTGTATGAGCTTCCTTTCTGTTCTCTCACAGAGCTGTCCTTCCCCAGGGTCTTCTATGTGCTTGCTCTGCTGCTTGGGAAGCTCTCGCTGAGGGCTCTCAGCAACTCAACTTCTGGGCGTAGACTCTGTTCAAAATTCAAAGCCTGATCCCTGCTTCCATTGTCAGAGTAATCTAGTTATCACCCTTAGAAGTATGGCACTATGTAGTTATTTAATTATTTACATGCACTTTTGTTGACTCTTGCAGTAGGCAGGCTGGCTTCACTGTGGAATCGTCAGTGGACGGCCGTGTAACCAATACTCTGTCTGCCAAGTAAGCTAAGTGAACACACCTGTGGCACTGGTCCCCAACCCAGTCTGCATTTAAGATCACTTCATTTGAAAAACACTAAACCAAAGTCCAAAATCAGTACCTAAGCCCCACCCCCAGAGCCTACAGCTTAATTAGCATGGTATGGGGACCTGGGATCAATAATTTTAAGAAAGTTCATTAGGGTATTTTTATGTCTCGGGTAAGGCAATCACTGCCCCAAATGGACAATGTGGGTCTAGTAAGATATTACCTAAATCTTACATTGGGGGAAAAAGGCTTCTTAAAACTAGTTTGTAACTGACTAGAGGAGAAAGCAAATTAACTGATTTCAACAATAGTAGTGGCCATGAATGTTATACAGAGAAGGATGAGGCATACAAATTACATTGGAATCTCTAAGGAATCAAAGCCGTATGCAGGATCTTGGGCTGTGAGCATCGGCAACCTGCAGTAGTGAGTGCAGCCATGGATGCTGGATCCAATAGGTGGTGTTTCTCTTTCTTCCTCCTTTGTTCTAAAGAACTGACAAACTCCACATAGAGAACTGGAAGGGGTCATTTTCTCTCTCTCCTCTCCTCTCCTCTCCTCTCCTCTCCTCTCCTCATGGCCCCTGACACATGTATGGCACAGAGTTGTGCCTTTGTAGAGCCTGCAGCCTACTTCGAGAGTCAGGCAAAAGGGTGTGGGTCCCTTCCTAGCCAGGAAGGATCCATCTAAAATATGGCCCCATGATGATTTTAGTGTGGAGAACTGGAGAGGCCAGAGGCAAGAGGTCCAGGAGGCATGGGCAGCATCTATAAGCACAGATTTCTGAGCTCTGTAAAATGGAGATAGAAATAGGAAGGACTCCATGAAAAGGAAACTCCTGGGTGTCTCCTAATGGCTGTGACTAACCTAACGTGAACGACCTCTAATACAGACGCTGCTCTAGGACTATCCATAGCGACTCCCGTTTAAAGGGTTTGTGGGAAAGCACTCTGGAAATTTACTTCATCACAATCAGGATTTAGAAGTGGGGTCTGCATGGATATTTGAGATTTAGGTAAACATTTCCCAAACTCTAGGCAAACTCTGATTTTCTGGTGTGGATTTAGAAGGAATGAGATGGTTTGTGCTTCAAGAATGACCTGTGACCCCCAGAGGCTACAGCCTCTCACCCTATCTGATCTTCATTTTATTGGTGTATGCAAGTTCGTTTTATTTACTGAAAAAAAAAAGGGAGGGGGAATTCAGAAGCATTAACTGCTCTAACAACGCAGGCTCCTTGCAAGGCATTGCTCTGGACATGTCTGCTTCCCTTCTCCCTCTGCCCTGCACACCCCTTTCTTCCTTGATATATGCTAGATGTATCATATCCCCACTTTTCCAAGTGCAGTATCAATGAAGATGCAGCGTGAGCACAAGACTGCTCTTTGTGTGTCTATTTGTGTGTCCGTGTTCTGCTTGCATCAGACGCGGTTGGAGAACGAGGTGAGAACTAGATTAAATCATCCTGCCATTCAGATACTGCCCGTTAGGCTGTCCACCAGAACTCGCCATTGGTCTGCAAATGGGCTTCTCTTCTGAACTGCACCCAGAGATGGAGAGCTAGGTGACTGAATCTATTAATAAGTCGAAGTGTCTCCCCTGCAAACCAGCCAGCTTCTCTTTCCTCTACTTTGTGGTGCTGGGTCAAGATCTCCGAGCTAGTTTTGCCTTGTCAGCTGTTTAGCTAACCTCTGCTCAGTGACTAGAAAAGACCTGCTCTTTCCAGTGAGTGACATAATCTGCAAATGCTCCATCCTTGACCTTCCTGTAAGATTGAGTTGCTATCTCGGCTTCTGTGTCCCACCTTGAGCCTGTACCTTTTTCACCTCAGTCCAAAGCCAGTCCTTGCCATATTCCTGCCTGTTGCTCTCTGGCACAGGTCTTCCTGCCTCTATGGGTTGCAATGCTAACTTTATCTCAGTAGGGTTCTGATTTCTCTCACCAAGGCATCTAGGTGATCAGGTTAACGCCACTTTTCCAGGCTTGTTTTTTCAAGTCAAAGAATGCATGTGAAAGTGTTTACTATATACAGAAAGCTTCATGCTGGATGCTTCTGCCATAGACAACTCCTTGGTCTACCCTCATAGAATACTCACTACTGTGATATATACAGTTGTATTGTAGGTGTGTAAAACACATGGAGAAAGTAGAATCCCTGCTGGAGAGAGATCTCTTTTGGTGGGGTGAATAATTTGGCTAGCAAGGTGTAAGTGGGGAACACCCTAGGTATGTGTGTGTGTGGGTGTGGGTGTGGGTATGTGTGTGTGTGTGGGTGTGGGTGTGGGTGTGGGTATGTGTGTGTAAGTAGCAAGTACATTGCCTTCTTGAACCAAGTACATTGCCTTCTTGAACCTATTATCCTCTGTTGGTTGCAGGGCTCTGTCTTCTAGGCAGGCACCTGTACAAATTGGTGCTGGAATTGGGTTGTATGGGAGAAGGGACTAGTGTCAACAGGAATGAGTCTGTGCTGGCTGCCTCATAGCTAGCTGCCAAGAGCAACTTCAAAGCAGAATGAAATTGTCCAACAGGGATTGTCATTAGATATTTGGCTGGTGTGTGCTGTAATCTTCCAAAAATCATCAATAAACCATGATATAATGTTGCACTAACTACAAGTTTGGAATGGTGTAAAGTCAGAGACATCCTAGAGAAAGATAGCCATGAATTATGTAAATATATTTCACTTTCTTATTTTTTTCCTTCAACAATGTGTTATAAGCACCTTGCAACACAGATTAGATTTTTCATTAAGTCCAGTTATGAAGTTGAATGTATCTGTCAGAGCATTGACCTTTGAGTGGACAGGGTATCTTTACTCAGATGCAGCTATCATTAGGCTACATGAAGTACCGACAGTCCTGCATATGACTATCTATGGATGCCTTTATCACTTTTATATGAAAAAATTTAAATATATTTAATGACTAAATAATTGCACACTCGTGAACATTTGGAAAGATTGGTAACCATGAGCGACAATAAAACCATTCGCAGTTTCAATACTCAGTGCTAACCACAGCTGCTAAAGTATCCCCACCCATTTTTTAATGTATAAATATAGCCTCTATATTGTGTGTGAAAGAGCATATGACTATATAAGCAATTTCAACAATACCTTATATGTATATTTTCTTTATAATTCAATAGGTTCATAATATTTGTAAAATCTTACTGCTGTTTCCATTTAACATTTAATATAAGCATTAATCTTTTTGAGTATGTCTCGAAAATTATAATGTGAAGATTGTAGTCCTTCACATAGACTACCATAATGTATATGACGAATTCCATATTGTTAGATAATTATAGTATTTCTGCACTGTTTGCTGTTGTGCATAATACTACATGCATAGATGTTGTAACTATATTTAGTCAGGGCATCTTTTCACACACTGAAAAGCACTTTGTCTTTGGAGGTAGAATTTTATACTTGCCTGAAATGAAGCTGATCAGATACAGCCCCAGTGGTCCATGCAGAGTTTCAAAGGGCTTGCCAAAAGCATTGTACATGAAGAAGGCTGTCCCCACCATGGTTAAGATGACAAGAATCATGGAGAAGAGAATAATATTGACGTGGATGCTTACAGGGATGGCTTGGACCAAATCTGGGAAGACTGAGGATAAACCAAGATTCAGAGGAATTTTATGGTCAGTAGTCTGCAAGTGCGACTTAAAATGTAAGCTTTCTTCTCTTACATGCTTTCGAACAATCACTTAAAAGCATTTTGATGAAGACTTTTCCCCCCTCACTTACCAGTTTACAAGGGGTTTGCCCAAAGATTTAAAGGTGGGATCATTTCATAGACTTCGGCAGTACAATATGGTACTAGAGAGTGCCGGGGATTCTTCTGCCCTTGATTATACATCAGTGGATTTGTAACTTAAAAGTGGACATCTTTTAAAATCTATCTAAACTTATAATATTTTAAATTCGAATTCATCTTGGAGGAGTCAAACACCGGGCAATTTTTTTTATCACCCTTGATTGCTATAATGTAAAAAAGTGGTTTCCAGGCCACAACAGTCAAGAACTGGGGATTTTCAATCAACTTCAATATTTTGATGTAGTACAAAGCTATGGGAAAAGGATTTATGGTACTACAAGAAATATTTTTCCATTTAGTAAGCAGGCCAAATCTATTTCTAGATTTTGTATTCAGGCCAAATTATCCTTGTCTGCTTACAAGATGGAAGCCTTACACACGTCAAACTTATCTGTGCTACATCAGTGCTCTCACCTCCAGCAAATCTGGACTGCACAGGAAGGAAAGTGCAGTTCCACAAGCTTTAGTTTCCCAAGCTCGAACCCATGCTTAATTAATACATTGAGCATCTACTATGTGTCAGCCATTGCTTGGAAAGCCAGAGGTGGGTGGAGCCATAAAACAAGGCAGAGAAAGACCTATATGTCTTCTACAGAGCTTGTGACCTGATGAAAGCACACAGGCAAATGGTAAGTGAGCAAACAAATTCGATTGTTCACTAAAGGTGTTCACTAAGGTCTCCCTTTATACCGGTGTCACTTCACCTTTAAGAGTTAGAGTAATTTTCTCATTGCCTTTCAGGAGTAACTATAGATGGAGCTTAGCTGTCTTTTATCATCCTATGATAAGGATGATGCACATGAAAACTCTTTTTTCTTTTTTAAATCTACTTTCTATAAACTGGGTCTCCTGAGTCCAAAACATTTAGTCAAGGTGTCAGGAAAGGGAACCTTTGTGCAGTTTTCTTGGAAATAAAAATTGGGAAGACCTTCTTGATGCTGGGCTGTTCATGTCCTTTAGCTCAGCAACTTTTCTTATTCACTCTTGAGCATATTCTTATGCCTCTCTTGAGCATATTTAGGCACATGAGTCCACTGAAGTATTATAAATATAGTCAGTGCTGAAAAGCCTGGGAAGAGCTTGCATGCATAGGAATAGTGCACACAATCCCATACAATGGAATTGTACAGCTATTGGAACAATTTTATAGGAACAGATGTAGAATTACCATCAGAATGGGATGTGAGATAGAAAGAAACCAACCACATAGAGGGAAACGTGCATCCTCCTACCATTTGGGGGGAAGCCAAAGGGATGTGTTTATAATGATTATTTAAGTACTCTGCTCTCCTGACTGAATTCTCTATACAGGTGAGATAGGTATATTGTTAAAATCTGAAGCGTAGGAGGCTCAAGAGAAGGCTCAGTAAGTGCATCTGCTCTGTAAGCATGAACACTCAAGTTCAAGTTCCCAGCACCTATGTGAAAAGCAGGTGTGGTGGTTTGTATATGCTTGGCCCAGGGAGTTGTACTATTAGGAGGTGTGGCCTTGTTGGAGTAGGTGTGTCACTCTGGGCATGGATTTAAGACCCTCACCCTAGCTGCCTGGAAGTCAGTATTCTGCTAGCAGACTTCAGATGATGATGTAGAAATCTCAGCTCCTCCTGCACCACACCTGCCTGGATGATAATGGACTGAACCTCTGAACCTGTAAGCTAGCCCCAATTAAATGTTGTTCTTATAAGAATTGCCTTGGTCATGGTGTCTGTTCACAGCAATAAAACCCTAAGTAAGACTGCAGGGCATAGATATACACACCAAGCATTGAAAGGCAGAAGGCAGAGTCAGGTGGATCCTAGGAGCTCACTGGCCAGCCAGCCAACCTAGTAAAAATGGTGAGATTCCTGGTGTGTGTGTGTGTGTGTGTGTGTGTGTGTGTGTGTGTGTGAGAGAGAGAGAGAGAGAGAGAGAGAGAGAGAGAGAGAGAGAGGAGAGATTTGGCCTGTATCAAATATATATATATATATATTTGAAATATATATATATATTTTTTTTTTCCAAACAGGATCTCACTACTTTATCCCTGGGTAGTCTGGAACTGGGTCTGAACTCACTCTGTAGACCAAGATGGCCACACACTCACAGAGATCCACCTGCCTCTGCCTCTCAAATGCTAGGATTAAGAGACCACGCTAATGCCCGTAGAGACCCTGTCTTAAATGGAATGTGGTAGAAAATGAAAGAAGAAAGGAAGACATTCCACATCCTCCTCTGGCCTTAGCATACAGTAGCACAGGCACTTGCACTTGTACACACATATGCATAACACACACACACACACACACACACACAAACCTGAGTCTATGTGCTATGCCCAAGATCTATACTTAGTTTGTGGCAGAATAGGGATTTGGACTCAAGTCCTCACTCTGATCCACTATGCTACAGCAGCTTTCAAGTCTGGCCTGTGTGTCACAGCTAAGATTATGTCCAGAAGAAAGTAAAAAATTAATAAAAATTCTAAAAATAAATAAATTAACAAAAATTATAGAAATTAATAGCATTGCTTCAGAAGAAACAGGCTGAAGAAGCTCCACTTTGTACTCTTTTTATACTGTTCAGAAGAAACTTTTATTTTGCTTCAAGCATTATGTATTCAATTAAAGTGTGAATACATTTAATACATTTAATGGACATGTAACAATTCCTCTGATTGCTGCAAATGGAAAGACACATAGGAGGTATATCATCCAAACACAACTCGTCCACAATTTATGGCTAAAGTTTGACATTTGAACAAACCTTATCTATAAAATGACTTTGAGACAGCCAGGGAAAACTGAGAATGAGATTGGTATTAGATGATGTTTCATAATTATTATTGATTTCATTGATTTTATTTCATTGTGCTATTGTGGTAGTTTTAAAGGCCTTATCTGTTAGAAATGAGATGGGTCGATGGATAGATGGATGGATGAATGGATAGAAGGAAGGGTGGATGGATGCATGGAAGGAAGGATGGAGGGAGGGAGGGAAGGACAGATGGATGGATAGATGGATGGATGAACGGAAGGATGGATGGATGGAAGGATGGAAGGAAGGATGGAGGGAGGGAGGGAAGGATGGATGGATAGATGGATGGATGAATGGATAGAAGGAAGGATGGA